TCATTTCTTTTGCATCCGCAAGCTAGTAGGTTGGTAGGCAAGCTGCTACACTATTATGGATAAGAACAAAAAATGGATAAGTATGCAGTTTAGGATAAGCATCAACATTTAGATAAGGATAGATGTAAAGATAAGCTCAATCAAGCCTATTCATACCACCTCATGCTTCCATAGCTTCCTCCCCAAGTAACCAACTCCTTCTCATTTGTTCTTCACATAAAAAATCAAACGAAAACCTTTCCGAGAGAGTGAGTGTCCGAGAGTGTCTCAGGTGGTCCGTGGTAGTAGCCGAGTAGGATCGCCAAGAGTCTAGAGTCTCTAGTCGTCTCTCCTGTTAAGAAGTGCTAGATTTTTCCGGTCAGATTAGAGAGAGGGATATCCATTAGTTCCCGCAAAGGTCTTTGGGCGGGTGTATACGTAGTAGATACTCAGAGAGAACTGGTGGTATTAGCGTTGTATGGGGATTCCATTTGTTGAGCGGGAGCCATCCTTCTCGAGTTTGAATGGGACTCCACCGCCCTTGGACTAGTGGCTTGGATATCACTAGAGTGCTCATGTCTGATACCCCAGGAGCCATGTGGGCTAGTATCTTGCTTGGAGAGAGTGCATCCTCGGATTTGAGAAACCCATGCTTCTGTCTGTAGGAGACGCATTTCGGCTAGCAAAGGGCTGAGGTGATGGAGCTTTATTAGTTCTAATCAAGTCCCTAAAATCATTCGCACTGACTCTTCCACCTTTACCATTAGTGTTCCTTATATCTCTCTGGGAGGTCTCAGCTTCAAAGGAGGTGCATGAACAATTATTATCCCCTTGCTTTCGTTTATCCTCCTCTATACGAGTAAGTGTCTTCATCTGGTTAACACCTAAGTTTTTGGGGTTGGAAGCTTGAGAGGAACCGCAAAAATGACAATGTTTTTTCTCATAGGAGAGTGAGAAGCAGGTGAAGCAATGTTTTTCCAACTTCTCATAGAGAAAAGTGAAGAACACATTTTCCGTATGTGTCGGTTAGTCTATCTCTTTAGTTGGGGCCTTGGGGCCGTTGTTAGATTTGAGGAACAAGAATGAGAGAGATTGGGAGAGAAAGTGAATAGTAACCAAGAATAGAAAAGAGAGAGAATTATTCTTCTTACTTTATTAAGGTTTACAACCACACATATATGTAGGTGAGATAAGCTTACAAAGGAAGCTAATGATATAAATAATGGTAATCCACTTTTTCCCTTAACATAACCCGTATGTATAGTATAGACCAATGTAGAGACAAGTCTAATGGTCTATACTATTCTAACTTAGTCAATATAGAATATACCAGTATAAAGTAAAACATAATGGTCTATTCTATTATGACATACTCAGTACTCCCCCTCAAGTTTAGCTATAAAGACAACGAGAGCTAAGTTTGGACACCCGTAGACCACCACCTCATTAAAAACATTAACATAAAAAAATCACTTGGGAGAAAACTATGTTAAGGGAAAAAGAGTATGATGTCTACGAATAGAGGTCTTGAGCGTAAGGGCGTGTAAGATCTACAAGTCCAAGTTTGTTATGGATATGATTGCAAACTTGGAGACTTGCAGCCTTGGTGAAGATGTCCGCCAATTGATCTTCACATCTAGTATAACATGGAAGAATGACACCTTCTTGAATCTTTTCTCGGACTTTATGGCAATCCATCTCAATGTGTTTGGTTCTCTCATGAAAGACCAAGTTTGTAGCTATGTGAATAGTGGCTTGATTGTCACAGTGCATTGTCATTGGCTTTGTTATCTTAATGCCAAGGTTTTTAAGAAGAGCTTTCAACCAAGTGAGCTTATTAGTGAGTTTCTTCATGGCCCTATACTCCGCTTCCGCACTTGAACATGAGACCACCTTTTGCTTCTTGGACTTCCAAGTGACTAAGTTTCCACCAACGAATGTGCAATAACTGGTTGTTGATCTTCTTGTTTCGGTATCTCCGTCATAATCTTGTTGATCTTCTTGTTTCAGTATCTCCGTCAAAATCTTGTTGATCTTCTTGTTCCACGGTCTCCAAGATCTTTACCTTGAGGGTAATGAGAAAATGATCAGCCTCAGAACGTTTGAACCCACGGTCTTTGAGCGTAGAGCTAAGCTTATGGTACCAAGCTCTTGGTGATTGTTTCAAGCCATAGATTGCCTTGCGGAGCCTTAGACCTTTCAGGGAGTAATTGAATCTTTAAGACCAGGTGGTGGAGTAATATACACTTCTTCTTCAAGCTCGTCTTTGAGAAATGCATTTTTGACGTCCATTTGCCATAGATCCCATGAGAGATTAGTAGCTAGGGAGAGGACCACTCGGATTGTGTGAAAATTAGCTACCTTATACGGGCCTCCAAATCAGACTTCCTCACCACTTCTCCATAGGCCGCGGTCATGGCTGCCTCCTCCCTTGCTTGGTAGAACCAGAACCGGCTACTTAATTCACTTCTTGGGAGAGATTCGCTTTGAACTTGGCCGGCTTGAGGTGAGGGTAAAGAATCCAACATTTGTCCTTCACATGGCCCTTCTTTTAGCAATGGTCACACATAGTCACCTTCCTTTTTTCTTGCTTATAAGCTCCCGTGTTATCTATGATGTGCTCCCCCTTACCACCAAAGAGGCCAAGGGAACCTTGTTCCTTTTGAACTTGAGAACACACATTGTCGAGGGTGGGAAGTTTGTCGGCTCGGAGAAGATGCTTGATGAGATCATTATACACCGGGTTGAGAGTGAGAAGAAGACCAAAGACTTTATCTTGTTCTTTTCTCTCATTGAGGATGGACGGATCCACGGTGCTTGGACGGAGCATCTCGAGTTCGGCCCACAAAGACCGATACTTTCCAAAGTGCTTTGTAAACTCCAAATCTTCTTGAATTAGGTTGTTGATAACCTTCTTGACTTCGAACACACGGGTCAAGTTGGACACATTCCCATAGACATTCTTGAGTGTGTCCCAAATTTCCTTTGCGGTTTCACAATAGGATTAAGCTTCAAGTATGGAGGGTTAAAGGGAGTTTTGAAGGATAGCTAGCACGGTTTGATCTTCTTGGAACCATTTGGCTTCCTTCTCAAGCTTGGCTGCCTTGTCTTCTTCTCCCTCGGTCTCCTTTTCATCTTTCTTTGTGACTTCTTGAGTGGCATGGTTGACCTCAACGTGACTCCAAAGCCCTCGGCCACAAAGAGTAGTTCTTGTGGTTCTTTTGCAAAAAAGATAGTTCATACCCTTAAGTACGACCGGATTGACAATCAGTTTTGGGTTCTCCATGGTGAGAACTTGAAGATCTTACAAGATAAGATTTATTACCCAATAAGAAAAAGTAGATCTAGAGAACAATCTTTTACCCAATAGACAATAAACCAGATCTGATGAAAAACAAGAAAGATTGGATCTGAGAATGAAGAAGAGAATAAGAGAATAGTGAGAAGTAGATTAGACTAAGAAGAAGAAGGATCAATTGCTCTGATCCCATGTTAGATTTGAGGAACAAGAATGAGAGAGATTGGGAGAGAAGGTGAATAGTAACCAAAAATAGAAAAGAGGGAGAATTACTTTTCTTACTTTGTTAAGGTTTATAGCCACACATATATGTAGGTGGGATAAACTTACAAAGGAAAAATGAAATAAATAATGCTAATCTACTTTTCCCTTAACATCACTCGTATGTATAGTACAGACCAATGTAGAGAAGAGTCTAATGGTCTTATCCTAACTTAGTCAATATAGAATAGACCAATATAAAATAGAACATAATTGTCTAATCTATCTTGACATACTCTATACACGTTTCATTTGATTCTTCTAAAATCATGGACACAACGTAACAATAATAAGAGGCTCATTTACTAAGTACGAATTTAAAAGGTTAAATAAACAGTGAAACAATAATTCATTAATCTAATAAAATTCTTAACCACGATTTATATACCATCTTAAAAATTATTATCAGTAATTACAACTTTATAATAATAAAAGTTGTAACATATACAAACATTTACTTATAATAACATACCAAGTCTCAATTACAAATTGGAAAAATAAATATAAATTATAACTGGATTGATGAAAACACGAAATATTTATCCATCCATATCTAGATTTCAGATTTCCTAATATTTCTCTAACTAATTTAAAATAATAAATTAAAACCTATATTAATCTCCTTTCACCTTTATTTGATCTTATTTTAACTTTTTATATTAAAATATATAATACCAATATAAAATAAAAATACATCTTTTTTTAATATGGTGCAATTTGAATTTTTCAAAATGCATATTTATTACTAAATTGACAAAGAAAATATTATTATAAACTTAAAATATTAATAAAGTAAAGTTTGGATATCTAAAACGGGTTGATTAAATATTTTGGTTAAATCTAAGCGGGTTAATTAAATATTTTCGTGAAAGTTTATATTATACTTTATTGATAGAAAAAGTGTAAAACATACCACATCGGTTAAAAGTTTTGGAAAAAAGTTTTAAATCATTATAAACATGACCAGTATATTTCTAACTATGAATGAGCATGAAGTTTAACTTAAAGGGCTTTCAATATAGATTATAACTGGATTAATGAAAACACGAAATAATAGCATACTAGAAAATTGCTACAAAAAATATATTACTTTATGCATTCATCTCAATTATAACTGGATTAATGGAAACACAAAATATTTATCCCCAATTCTCATTTGAAAGTATTTAATCCTTAATTTTAAAATATCATAAAAATTATCAACAAAACTGTAGAAAGCCGCAGATATAAAAATGTTTTCGTTATAAAAAAAAGTTTTAATCGAAATTTTTTCCCCGCGCTATAGTGTGAATCCCGTTCTAGTCTAGTATATATAGTTAATGGTTTTTTATTGTTTGAAAAGATGAAATGATGGATATTAAAATGTCCGAATTGACAATCATACTAATTCGTAGATATATGAACTTTGATTTTTGTACAACAACTGACCACGTGATTGTTTAAATTCGTATATAAGTTGATATCTTTTAAGGAATGAGTCCATTGAAAACATATTACTTTTCAGCTCACAATTGGTGACTATATTATTGACGGACACAAAACTCACAACAACAAAACCCAAGGAAACTAATCAAAGCACCAATGCAAAAAATACATAATAAAAGTGAAAAAAAAAAACACAAAGCATAGAGTGGATTTGGGATAGATGATGATGATGAGTAGCTAAAAGAAGAAGATTAGGCCATGGAATCAACGGTGAGGACGGTGCTAAGATTCATGGGATGCATATATTCAGGAGAGCCATTGAGGATCTGTTCAGCAATGATTCTACTTGCTTTTTCTGATGGATGAAAAGGATCCCAAAAGGCATATAGATCTCTGTTTGGGCAAAGATTTGATAATGGTGTGCATAGCCCTATCCCATTGTATGGTCCTTGTCCACAACAAGCCACCTTCGACGTGACGAAACCTGCCAAACACAATTTGGTCGTAAACAACTTAGTCAGTTCTAGGAACAGGCTTAAAATTTGAACCAAAACGAAACCAAACTTGGTGAAAAAAGGCTACGAAAAATCTATAATACTAATTAAGATTTTTTTCGGATTTTTTTTTGTTAGCTACATTGATACTAATTTTTCATGTCTTAATATTAATTTTTCCATAATTTTTTTTTCTTTTATGAAAAGGTAAATATATAAAATGAATTAAGAGGGACAAATTAAATAAGAGCATGTACCATATCGTTGTGGGTCGCTAATGAAGTCCATGTGCATTTGTTGAGTATTAGCGGCAATGAAGGCTGAAGATCCAACTTCGTTGTTGAGGTCAGATATCATTTGAGTGAGCTGCGGGTTAAATAGTGAGGCGGCTCGTTGTAGTTCTGTAGCACACTCGCCATCGCGGCTACGTTGAGCCAGCTCGGCTGGGACGCAACCCATCGGCCCTGTTCCAGTCACCAAGACACGTCGAGCACCCAAATCGTACATTTTCTTCAAAACAATATTGATTTTTTTCATTAGCAAAAACTGAAGTATCATCATATTTGCTACAAGCCTACTACTAGTTTAAATTGGAGTTTCGAAGGAATTTTAAGAAGACAGTGCTAGATTTCTTATTTGGGTCATTTTTTCAAAAAGAAGGACAAAACAAAACTATTGTTCCAATCATGTAAAGTATCACTTGGTGTAATATGACTTGTCTAGTTTTAACCATATATGTTTAATGTTTTCTAGAGTAGACTAAAATAAAATTCTACAAACTTCTCTGTTTTATCTAACTATAGTACATGTAGAGTTGTAATTGAATAAACGTACCCTTAGGACTTTGCGGTATTCAGAAATGATAAAGACAACGTAGTCAGGGAGAGAGTATTGACGAGATCTTGCAGAGAAAGGGACCAAGTAGTAGTTGTTTACGAAATCGTTGCCTCCAAGTGTAATTAGGACAAGAGCTCCATTCACGAGCCTATTCATCTCTTCTTCTCCGACCAATCCACTCACTCGGAGCTTGTACTGCTCGAAGTATTCAAGCTGCTTCGTGATCCTAATAATGTTCAGCTGCATTGAATTTGCCAAAACATATCCCTCACCATCAAGATTATCAAGAATGCACTTAACCGATTGTAATACTAATGCAGGTGAAACTTACAAATTGGATCCCGGTGTCGTTAAGGATTCCAATACCCGCGGACGCGAAGTTGGCGCCGACTAAGAGTCTATCTTTTTTCAGCATAGGACTAAGATACGGCATTGGAGACTCTTGACCCAAATGCTCACCTATAACAGATAATAATTATTCATTATCCTTTTTAGGTGACGTTAAGTGTTTAATGTTACTTGGAAAACAAGAAAGAGAGCTTACTAATGAGATCTGGAATGTTAAGACCATTGGAGAAACGGCCGGTAGGACGGTGAGTTGGGAAATCGATACCATAAGGGTAATTATCGGCACGAGCAGTGGTAGCTAGGAAGTCATTGTTGCCATTGTCGACGAGGGAATCTCCGAACACGAGGAAAGCCCTAGCGTTGGCTTGCGGTACAAGTAAACTTATCACTTGAAGTATGCAAAACCCTAGTAGTGCCAAATTAGCCACCGAGTTCGTCATCTATATATACGAAAAGAATTATTTTAGTTTGAAAATTTTCTATGTATATGTAGCTTTGAACTCTGTTTTAGGTGTTTGCTGTGAGATGAGGATGTAGAAGGGAACATGATTGTCGTATGTATATATAGGTGTAAATGTAAAAAGTAACATAGAGGAAAAGGGAGGCATTAATGAAGGTCTTCACCAGCTTTTACCTATTGGTGTTAATTTTAAAGAGAGACAACTCTACATGTACTAGAGAGTTGTGATTTTGGTTGAGAATAAATAAGTGACGCTATGTTGACAAAAACAAAAAAAATCAATAAGTGTTGGTGATGATTTAATTATTTTTTTAATATAAAATGTGTAAAATTATTTTTCATCCATATTACAATGCTGTTTTGCTATTTATAGTAACAATCATACAAATGTTCTAACTAAATAATTATTAATATACTATTGTATTGATTTACAGAATATTTTTCATTTATCGTTTACCTAATTCCATTCTTAATGATTTTTTTAAAAGAAAATTTTGTTTGATTTTGTTTTGTGTATACATAATATTCATCAAATCCAAATGAGAGGCTAGCAATCTAAAAAGAAAAAGATACGAAACAATTACAACTTTATTTATTTACAAACATTAAAATTCGAGTCTGAATGAAATTTCGTGTCAACATCACATATATTGCATAGATACTAAAAACGTAAATATTATTTTCGTAAACGTATATTTTAGTAGGTTAACTAGTGTATTATTCAACTACGTGTACAATATATTTTTATTGTCAGAATATATAATCGATTTATAAAAATTATCAGATAGCCAATGTAAATTCAGTAAATACCATAGCATTGTACATATACATTCTTAGAGTAATTAAGAAAAAAAGGTTAAAACTACTTTTGGGGCCGAGATGAAAAGACTTGATATGGTAGATAGACCAAGAGAGACGGACGAGTTTAATTTCATGCCAATATTTTCATGCTCTTGAATTTTGGGTTTTAATTGGATGAAAAAATTTGGTTGTAAAAAATAAAATGCAGGTCCCTTTGGGAATAAGAAGATAGAATTATTTGAAGTACTTTGTCCAGATTTACTCACACAGCCGCAGAGTTAGATTCCAGCAATGACAATGACAATGACATTCATGTTTTTTTTTTTCTTTTGCATAGAGTAGCTTTTAGTAACCTTTGATAAAAAAAAAAAAAAAAAAAAAAAAAAAAAAAAAAAAAAAAAGAAGAAGCTTTTGTAGCCATCGAGAGAGACAAAATGCTTCAAAGGCATATGTACATGTTAAATTGGCCCGTGAGTGAACTTTCCGTCCGATCAACGAAAACATAGACTAACAATATTTTGATTACCCGAAAAAAGAAAGACAAAAGTTCCATAAAATAAAATACTATATTGAAGTATTTTAATTATCACAGTATTGAATTTAAGAGCCGATCTTATGAAATTTTAATATGTAAGTCCCGAATAATATTTTTTTTAAAACAAACATTCACACATAACAAAGATTTTAAAATGATAAGTTTATAGAGTAAAAATGCTGAATGATCTTATGAGAGGTGAGTATTATGACATATATAGGCTATTCGTTAGAGAGATTAGGGTAAACAGAAATTTTAAAGGGTTTTGGTACACCACTTAGCTTGTTAGTCAATAAAAGACTAATATTTTTGCTATTATCTATCAAAATACTTGACAATGATTGGAAATAAGAGTTTATACAATTACCAATAGATTACCGACTGTTTTTCTTCATCATATGGTCTTTTGATATTTTTAAAACCGTGTAAGAATACATTGGTAATCCCTTGAAAATTACCTACAGATTACCGATAAATTTAGAAAAATATGTATTTATTGACAGATTTTTGACAGTTTATTATTGATGGTCATAATCCATTAATAATTTGTTTTTTTTGTTTGATTAAATGTTTAATTGATTGATAAAAAAAAAAAGAAACGTTATTGCCAGAGCCGTCTCTACACTATTAAAGGCCACAACCAAACTAAAAAAAAGGCTGCTCAAAAAATTTTTTTTAACAACTAAACGAAAGTAAAAACAATGGAAAAAACCAGTAATTTCTAAACACTGTAAATTACATAAAATAAGCAATTTATTCTTCAAATCTAGCTATTCTCCTTGCATTTCTTCCTGCAAACTCATTCATCAAGTCTTTAAAATCAAGCTTTTCAGCCATACGCCTTTCAATCGATATTATCGACAACCCATTTAGTCTCTCTTGCGCCATAGTTGACCGTAAATAAGATTTTATGAGTTTCAACTTTGAAAAATTTCTTTCTGCAGAGGCAACAGAAACTGGAATCGTCATCATTATGCGGTATGCAGTCCATGTATTCGGATAACAACTTTTCATATTTTTCAGAAAATTCAACACCTCGATAGCTTTCTTCATCTCTTTTGACAAAACCTCTTTGAAAAGCTTTAGCTCTAAAAATAAATCATTACCATCTAGATCAGAATGCATATCATGCTTCAAGAAAACTTCAAGGTTGGTACAAGAAACCATCAACTCGTCATCATTTGCTAATTGCAGTTTTGTCAAGTCGAACAAAAATCCAAAAGTCTTTTCATAACCTTGAAGTTGATCAAATCTTGTTTCAAGAGAAACCAAACCTTGATCCACGATTTTGATGAAGTAGTTGAGCCTAAAGTTTTCTTCTGCTGATAATATCACATCTTCCCCAACTTTTTCAGCTTCTTCGTCGTGATAGCGTTTTCTTTTACATATGCGTTTTGCTTTCACAGAGAATACATGATCAATATCCATACTAGTAGCAATCCGCTCAGCTTCTACTTTTGCTGCTTGAAAGCCTGTTTCTCTATAGTTTCTGAAAAAAGAAACAAGTCCTTTTAACTGAACAATAGCAATATCAATATCCATATCTTCTGACTGCAAGATCTTACTTACTTTGTTGACAACAAACAAAAGCTCATACCAAATTACCATTCCAAACAAAAATTCAAAACTCCCAATTCCATGTATTTCACTCATTGCAAGAGACTCGGCTTCGCTTTTTGTTTCCGGATTATCACTGTTTTCTGCCAAGTAAAATAGCGCATCTCGTATCTGAGGAGCTTGAAATCGTATTGCTTTGACACTTTTAACACGGCTCTCCCAACGAGTTTGTGACAATGGCTTAACTGTAATACCATTCACAATATCTCTAAAAACTTCGCTATTATTTGTAGAAGATGCAAACAAACAATAGATACGCTGCACAATACCAAAAAACGACACTGCTATCGTCGAATAGGAGGCTATATCTGAAAGTGCCAGATTCAAACTATGACAACCACATGGTGTGTAAACTGCTCTTGGATTAACTTCAAGTAATCTTGATTGCACTCCTTATTTTTTCCTTTCATGTTTGATCCATTGTCATAACCTTGCCCTCTAATGTCATCAATATTCAACCCAAGAGTATGCAAAACATCTTTCAAAGTGTCAAAAAGCCCTTCTCCAATTTTGTCTTTTACTTCCAAGAATGTCAAAAAAAATTCTTCAATCTTAGGTGACATCTCAGAAATATCCACACAACGAATAATTAACGACATCTGGTCCCGGTGACTGATATCAGGAGTAGTATCAAGAATAACTGAAAAATATTTTGCACATCGAATCTTCTTCAAGATCAACTGCTGGATCTCAGTACCAATCATCATTATCAACTCATTTTGAATACCAGGACTCAGATAATGATGATGTGTTTCCTGTTTTTCAATTCGTCTTATGTGTTCTTGCATTACAGGATCAAAATCTCCAAACACCTCAACCATCCCCAAAAAATTTCCATTATTATCTTCATGAATCTTATCACTGCTTCCACGAAATGCTATATTCTTTTTTGCAAGACCCTTTACCAAAGCAATTATCCTCAACAATACATCTCTCCAGTGTTTTTTCTCTTTGTTAATCTTTGCCTGCATATGCTTATCAATTGTTTGCTTCTTTTTTAGCCTGACCTCTAACTATATCCAACGAATCATGCATCTCATATGATTAGGACCTTTTTCATGCTCTCTTAGCATTCTTGAAACGTTTCTCCAATCACTATACCCGGTAGTTGCCAACTGACAGATATTTTTATCTTGTGTAAATAATTTACAGCAAAAACAAAAGATCTTATCTTTTACTTTTGAGTAAACTAGCCATTGTCTATCTTGCCTTTCTCCATTTATTATCTCTCTCGTGTAAGACGAATGAGAAAAACATCTACCAATCGAATCTCTTGGAAAATGAAAATCGACGGGAAGTCTTGCGATTGGACCCTTATCAACAAAAAAATCTCTCAGTCTATTATCAATTTCTCTCCAATTTCCGGGATCATTGAAATCTCCATCTATATGATATTCCTTAAAATCAAATGTTTTCTCCTCTTCATCCTCCATCTCAGTTTCAACCCCCCTATCATTCCTATTCTCATTCTCATTCTCTTTCTCCATAGACTCACGTTCATCGCCGGGTTCACCAAAATTTCTACCTTGGGTATTCTCTGAAATACCAGCTTCTTCACTACTCACATTGCTCTCTTTTTCTAAGTGCGCATCAGTTTTAGAAGGTTCAGATTTTTTTACGTACCTCAACATCGAATTTTCCATTGATTTTGTTAATGCCTCTTGTCTCTTTTTTTCCTTATTTTTGATGCTCCTCCTGGCACTATCTTTATTCGATTTGAAGTCATCTTCCTGCAACCAAACTACTAACTAATAAATAAAATCATTATGCATAAAATAATACTCCAAAAAATTGAACAAACTATATGACTTCTGACACAAGAAAGAGATAGAAAACAGTTTTTGTCTCTAAAATTTAGAAACTAAGGACCAAACCAATATCTCAATTATTTAATTGGCATGAAAATTGACAAACCTGAATTGATAGAAGATTTAAAGCCTCCACCAAGCTTCAACCAAAAGCAAAATAAAAAGAAAAGAGAGATGATTCTAAACTTGTTGAGATTGAAAAAAAATTGAAAACAGAAATAGGGCTGGGGGTTTGACGATGAGGAAGAAGAAGAAGCGTAATATGTTTTAGGTTTATAATTTTGTTTCTAATTTTTCT